TCAGTGTACAATCTGCAAAACGGAGAAAAGGCTGAGTTTTCTAATGAACAGAGATAAGTAGGGACTGTTTCTTGGGGCAACGCCTGAGGCTGTGTGCTAAGGGAACTTTCTGTCAGGTCCATCCTAAGTCAGATACTTAGTACCTCAAATTCAGAAACAGCATTTTTTGTTACTATTAGAACACTATGTTCTGTTCTGACTTTTCCTCTGAAGCCCATGAAGAATGTTGTGAATTTCTGAATTCTGCTATGTGTCAGGGGTCCATGCAGAGCTGTAAGGCATGCTTTGTTTCCTACAGACTATAGCAGCTACTTACAGGTACCTTAGTGGCACAGATAACTTAAAAGTAACTTTGTACTGGAAGTGGTTTTGGCCAGCTAGATATCCAGGAAACTCTAGGAGAATAACTTCTAGGAGAACAAATGTGTTTCTACTGTGGTACATTGACAGGTGCCCACCAAGACACATTCTCACTCCTCCTCCTCAGCAGGACAGGGGAGAAAAATACATAAAATAAAAATTAAAACCCCATGTGTCAAAATAAAGGTAGATTGATAAAAAAAAAAAAAAAAACCAAAGACCACGGAAAAAAAGGAGAATATATTCTCTAACTCTGTCAGCAGATGATGTCCAGTTTCTTCCTGGGAAATAGGGTCTCAGTGTATTGCTTTGCAAGCAAAATGCCTTAATAACAAAAGCTCTCTCATCTTTCTCTCATCCTTTATTGCTGACCATGACCTCATATGGTGTGGAAATTTTAGTCAGTTTGGGTCAACTGGTTTTGCCCCCTCCTGCTGTCTTGCTCACTCCCAGCCTACCAGCCCTTGAGGGTGGGAGTGTGTGGTGGGAGAGAGCTTCAATGCTGTGTGAACGCTGCTCAGCAGTGCCCTAAAACTGGTGTGTTACCAACGCTTTTCTAGCTACCAATAGAGAGTACAGCACTGTGAGAGCTGCTGTGGGGAAAGTTAAGCCAATCTCAGCCAGATCCAATATATGTGCATGTAATAAAATTTCTATACTTGAATCCTATTGGGGAAGAATAAGTCCTATAGCAGCTGGAGAAAGAGGGAAGGAGAGAGGAATAGGGAAAGGCATTCTGTTACAAGAGGCATTTGGCTGAAGCATTGCAAAGAATGAGTCAAAAAGAGCTCCCACTCATTTGGCTACCACCCAAGTGGGAAAAGTAAGTTGTTTAATTTTTGCAGGAAGGGATGACCTAAATGAGCAGTAACTGCAACAGTCTTGATGGATTTCTTCTCTTCCCAAGAATTTTTTGCTACTACAACTTAGTTCTAGTAATCCAAATGATCTATTCTGAAATTGTGGAAAACTGTTTAGGCATCCTACAGCCTTCATGGAGTAGAGCACACTTGGACTTGCTTCCTTCCAATAGTGCTTAGAGCAGATATACTTTTTTATTTTTCCCCAAAATATGCATGTACATTCAGGGCTCAGTATAATATGAGAATTTCTGAAGGACAACATCAGTCTTCTCAGAGACTGAACGAGGGAATTCCAGTAGTAATTCCTATCATCAGAGAAGGGAGATTTCTAGGAACTAGCTTTCCCTTTCTTTGTAGGAAGTATGCAATCCTGAGCTAATGCTGACTCAACAGTAACAGGGTGTGAGAAATTGCAGATGCAGCAGCTGTAATTGCTCGAGGACAAGCCCTTGCCTATCCATGAATGATAAAAATTGAACCTCACATGCCAGTGGCAATTTTGAATAAATTACTCAGTAAACTGATTAGATTGTATGTGAGTAAATTATAACGGGTAGGCAGTAATTGAAAATTCTCAACAGATACAAACTTTGCTATTAATCTCCTTTTTAAAACATAGATAGGTGGAAATATTGTGAATATGTTTTAATAAGGCATTCAAAGAACATGTCTCTTCTATTCTTCTATTTTTTTTTTTTTCTTGCTTCTGTCTGCTCCTAGGAAACCCCTTGCTGTGTAAATACAATTACACTATGCTTGCCTATCACAAGAACTTTTGTACATGGTTCTATTTTTCATCATATACTTTCCTGAGATGTTAGCTCTCCAGATACGGAAAACAAACTTGAGCAGTATTGCCTTCAAGAATTGCTGTCTGTGTTAAAGTGTGGATGTGTTTTGTTCTCAGTAAGGACTAACAGAGCACTTCTGTAATACAAAAAAGGTCATGACCCAGAGATATTCACAACACCTGTTAAAATGCCATGGACTCCTGGGACCACAGGAGATTCAGCTTTTTCCATGATGCATGGCCCTATGTGCCTTTTCATAGGAATATTGAGGTAGGAGAAAAAGCTCTTAGATATACTGGAGATAAGGTGCTTGATAACCATACTGGTTACTGATTATTTTCCTAGGGTGATATAGGAGTGACAGCAGTACTTAAATTTGTAGTACCACAAAAAGTCACATCATCTATTGGCGCTTTTAATGGGTTTCAAATATCTGTGCTTATTGTTTATTGAGCATTATGGATTTTCTCCTTGAAATTTGTGTGTGGAGATACTTTGTGAAGGAGGGAAGAGGCAAGAGACTCCTTTTTTTAACAGAGAGTTTGTGAAGAGTCCTGCCTCCAAATCTGTGAGAGATGAAGAAGGAGGTTTCTTGGCACTGTCATACTAGACCTCCTAGAGTGTCTCCACCAAACAGCTTTGAAGCTGCTAGTATGTAAAGTGACATTCTTAACCGTCCAGAAATGTCAGATAAAGATATGTTCACAGAAAGCTTTGGTGGTGCCAGACAGTCAGCAGTCAGATCTGTGTAGTTAAGCAAAAATAAGTATTATATTGCCCACAGATTTGCTGGGGACATGGAGATCTCTTGATTCTGTAGATATGTCATTATTGGGAAAGATACCTTGTGATACTTCCCTTTGGTGACTTGAGACATTTATGGTTTTTTTTAATTGTGTGTGATAAGCCTGAGGGTACACCACCAAATTAAAGAGCTGATTGCTTTTCAGCAAAGCCTAAGAAGTATCACACATTTTGAGGTTTCATGCAAAAATCTACAGCTTTCTAGAAGAGGGAAAGATGTTTGAATGCCTGACTTAACTCTATTAACTGTCAGAGTCTACCAATGTAGACAATTGATTTTGTGTTTCACTAGTATTATTAGAATTTAGTGGTCCCTGACACCTTGAGAACGCTGGGCAGACATATGATGATACCTCTTCAGAACTCCTCCAATATCCAGTGACTTCAAACCTGGGAAATCCTGAAAAGTTTGGGGTGAGATATTTTCTTAACAAAATAGCCTCCACTAATTTTCTTCCATGATTTTCCTAACTTTTTTTTTTTTTTTTTGGCTTAAGTACAATTTTAGAGTCTACAGCAATCACTGTCTGAAAACTCACCTACACATTCTGTGCAGAAATACCCCACATTTTGAAGTCACTGGTGGGGAGTTCCCTTGCCTTTGATCCCCTAGATAAAAGGTGACTATGATGGCTCAGAATCAGTTTTAGTTTCATAACCAAAGAGAGGCTGGATAACAAAATACCCATGTTTATAACAGCTGCTGAGATATCTCAAAATTGAACCTTTGTTCGCCAGCATGAAATCTATTTGTGTAAATGGAATGAACAAAACCATGCAATTTTAAGTTTCTTTTCTTACAAAAGAAGGCTGTGCATTTGCACTGTGCATAAATCACTCAACTCTCCTTAGCAATTTTTGCCCCTGTTGGCCTATATCAACTTCTTTGTCTGAGCTGAAGCATTTCTAAAGCAGATTAAATATTTACATGAAAAAGTTCAACATTTTGGTAAAGTCCAAAATTAATAACTCATTTGAGGAAAAATTATCAATATAAACTCAATATGGATTTAGCCTGTCTGGCCTGCTATTAGTCCCTCGGCACCCAGACAGGCCAGCCTGGCTGCCAGTCAGCACATCAGGCCAGTTTAAATTCAGTGACAGTATTTGGTGATGAGCCTCAATGGTGAATAGCAGAACAGGGGAGAAACAAGAGGTACTGTGGAAGTCTTTATTAGAAAGTGTTACTGATGGAAAAGGGAAGAACTAGAAAATATGGAAAGGCAGCTCAGAGAGCATGAGAAGATCAACTGAGATTACTGCTAAGGGATACACGAGATCAAAATGTAAACAATATGAAATAAATGGATGAAAAGTAAGGCTTCATTAGTTTTGTTTCTAAGGAAATAACTTCCTTACTACAAGTTTACATTTTTTACTACAAATTAAATAATTGCAAACTACAAACAAAATATTTCCAAAAATCATTCAGGAAATATATCATAGAAATGTAATTATCTCTCACTTAATTTACTAATAAATTTAATATTACAGAAATATTTTAGTTTATTTTCTCAGATTTTGAATGGAAGAGGAAAATTGTCTATGCAGAGGTATACTTCCCTTGCTATGAGGTAAGAGTTACTTCCATGTGTAAGACATGTTTTTTATGTGAATGCTATATAGTAGAAATAAACTGTACACATTTTAATCGGTTAAGGGGGAAAAAAAAAGGTAAAGCAGATGACTGGCCATATTTAAAATTCATCAATTTTCCTTAAAATTTGTTTTCTGCTGTAATATTGTCTGTGAATTTCCTGATTCCTCAGTTATCAGAAAAGCTGACTTTGTGGAAAGAAAGTATAAATTTGTTCATATTTTTGTTGAAATTTCATGTCTATTTTTTACAAGCCATATTACAAAATTGGGCACTCAGCATAGCCCTAAAGCATAAAATGGTAGCAAGTCACTCTATAACAGAGCAGCACTAAATTGGGAGAAGGCTGTGCAACAAGCACCAGATATACTCCCACCAGAGCTGGGATCATTATCTGCACAATTTGAGGTCACCATCTTTGGTTTCACAAAATAAAAAATCTCAACACCAAACATTTAATGAAAAACCAAACAAAAACCCAACAAAACAAGACGAAAAACTCAAACCAGAAGCAAGGAAAATTTTTTTGCCAGAGTACAGATTCAAAAACTGGAAAAAAAATATTTGAAATGTTTGACAAGTTACCAGTGCAATTCTTCTGGAAGTTAGGATTCTCTAGCGGGTGCCCTGGAATGCGGCACTGAAATCGGTGCTGCCAGAACTCGGGGAACCAGGGGTTGCGGGTGTTGGTGTCCAGCCGCAGCTTCAGGTAATAGTCATCAAACGCCAGCACCTCAGGAGACTGCAGCTTGATAGTGATGCCTCCATTTGCTTCAGGTTCATAGCCTTCAATGACTTCATCTCTGTCTGCCCAACCATCACTGCAAAGAGGCAAAAAACCACTTATTACACAAAGACAGAAAGCTGGTTTTGGAAAAGCTACCAGCCAAAGGCAGGCCGGCACCCTTGGAAGGAAGTGATTAATGGGGAATCTAAAGATGTAAAATTCAGGCAGAAAAAGCAGAGTGATGGTGGCTTGTAATGAGCAGTCTGACTGATTTCATGCAGAGTCCTCATTAACTCATCCAGAATAATGAGGTTTTATCCTTGTCCTTCTGGAAAGGTTATTTAGGCATAGCTTGTGCTGTGATATCCCTGTGACTGAAGGGATTCTGCTTAATTTCTGCTGTCCTGTAAGAGGCGGAAACTGAGAAAATTATTGTTGTTGAAAAGGAAAATGAGCCAGAATCCTGGATTTTTTTTGCAAAATAGACCTCAGCATGCATGGTTCATACAGCTAGAAGAGCAATTCAAATCAAACATAATGTGAGAATTGCATTCTGTTGGAAGAGAATGTAGTAAGACTACTCGACCAGACCAGAAAGAAAACCATATGCTATTCTCCCACTGCATGACATCTGTGATAAAATGTTTCCCCCCCCATCCTTCTTATTTTTATTCTTTTTTTTCTTTTTTATTAAGAAAGAATGGCTTTCTGCTTTACTTCCCTGTTTGTTCATGTATGAGTTGCTTTTGAATACGTGAAGATAAAGCTCTTTCTTGACAAAATTATTTCATGAAAAGTCTAATTTAACAGGTTTGAATAAAGTCCATTGGGCTTAGCATCTGAGCTCTAGTTCAGTTCTTTAGTTCTTTTTCCCCTTAAGTGTCCATTGATTTAGTGTGATTCTCCAGTTCTTATTAGTGTCCCCCAAGAACAATGCTTTTACAGTCTAATTTAAGTGCAAATATAAGTCAGCCATTGCTTAATCTTAAAATGCTGGGCATGTAATGAGAGAAATAGATTATTCTGGCACCTCAGATCAAGGTCTATTGCATTCAGAATCAAATCAGCTGCACTGCCTCTGTGAATAGCAGACAGATGAAGCACTTCCAGCAGCAAAGAGCTCAAGAGGAAAAATGCAATTCACCACTGAGAGAAGTCTCAGATTCACCCAAAAGAGGGTTGCATCCTGAATTCCAGACAGACTGAAAGAAGGTCCTTGTTAGAAGCCTTTTACACACAGTCTTGTGAAGAGTGTTGTGGTGCAGACCATGACCAGCTGAGGGCATTTATGAGACACTCAGCACAGGCGTGCCTGGATCTCCACAAAAGAAAATATAGATTATTTTAAGTGGGAATCTCTGTCACAATCCTGGTCAAACAGCTGTAAATTGACTGTGTACTGGGCACATGTGAGCTTTTGGTCCTCAGCCACACGACTGAACAGCTGCATGGTGCAGTTGGCATTCACATTAACTGCTGCATCTCTGCTCTAAGCACCCAGAAAGAAAATGGCAGTTTCCCATGAAAATACAGAAAAATCCATGTAGTAAATTCTTTCCACATCTGAAACACAACACATGCCTCTGTTATGGAAGTTATTTGAGACATGGGTCATCTGGTAGTGCAGAGTAATCAATACATTCCTTTCAACCTAATCTCAGGATCTCACAAATCTATATTTTAAGATGGCACTCCATGACACCTTCGAGGCAGGATTTCTCCTCTATTTTCCCCTTTGCCAAGGCCTTGCAGTAGAACCACCCAAAATTTCTGAGTTTACAAACTGCTGACAAATATCTTCATAGGGCATGAGATACATGTGTGCCTGTTGCGTTTCAGACACAGTATAAAAGCAAAGAGCTAGAGGAGATGCAGGGTGTAGGTCACAGGAGGGAGACAGAGATTTTGGAAGTGTCCCAAAGGGGCTCTCTCTGTCAGAAACTGCTGGTCACTTCTTCCCACAGCCTGGGGTGTAGGTTGCTCAGTGTCTTGTACCAATATAGCCCAGTGCTACCCACCTGGCTTAGTTTTGGGCTGACAGCTGCACTTGCATTGCCACAGGGGTGCACAGAGTTAAAAACATACAATTTGTCCATCCCTGCTCCCTGTCCCAGCAGACTGCCTGAAATTCTGAAGAGGGGAAGATGCCAGGGTTCAAAATCTCTGCATCCCTCCACTCTTGACTTGTCCATATGCTGAGGACAAATAATAAAATGTACCACGCTCCCCTGACTACTTCTTGACAGACCATGGTAATCTTGACAGGCCTAGGTAATCCTGGTCTAGTTAACCTATACAAAGGTAAAACCATGAAAATTAACTTTCTGGATTTCACATAATTCAAGACGGAAATTTTCACTAGACAGGAGAAAAATACACTTTTTTTTTTCTTATGTGGGGGAAAAGTAAGGAAGAGATCACCCTTACAGTATGAGTAATTAACTCCTAATTACATAATTACCTCATTACTTGTCACAATGTTTTTGGCTTTCAAGCAGTAGACTCAAGCAGAAACATTAGCAAGACACAAGAATTAAGTAAATTGAGCCATTTTTTACAAGACCTTGTTGAAATGAGGTAGTTTCACTGCTGCTTGGATTCCTACCAGCCAAAAAATAGCTATTTATTTTTCCTCTCCCATTCCCCAATATGTTTAGCTTGGAAAATGGCCACATAAATTCTGAAGGCAAAACTGAGCATATCTGCAAAACAAGATTTTGAGGGCAGCTCATTGAAAAGTTCCCCTAAACAGGAACACAGATTGTCACTTAATGTTTCTTTGTCTTGTTCTGGCCCCAAATATTTTTTATTCTCTTTTCAACTTCATCATATTTTTAAATCTGTCTGATAAGTCTCATCTTCAGCAAAGTGTGAAGAAAAATCACAGGAATCAGCGAAAAAATGGTTCATTAGGTATTGAAGCTCATATGGGAGCTTAGCTCTACTTTCAGTAAAATCAAGGAAGCAAAGAGTCCTCTGGTTTCTTAGGGGATGCATGCCATCCTGGCAGCTGCAGGCTGACTGAGGTGAAATTTGCCCTAAATGGGATGTGCAGCCCTACCTGCAGCTGTGGGAGGATTATCAGAGACCCAAGATCCTGTTATGACACCTTTCTGATTCCTTTTTTGCTGTTTATACACATGTTAAAAAATTATTGTCTGGAAGCACTGCACCCCTGGTGTCATATGAATAAATGGATAGTGGTCCAGAAGATGGTGGGGAAAAAAAATTACTTTTTTATTGCTGGGCAACAGCATGATACTTGTGGTCAGATGACAGTGATAGAATCACAAGACCAACAGCTGAGTCAACATAAAAATTAAATTTCATTTTAAATAGGAAGCACATACTATTCTTTTGTTGTCAGAACAAGTACATTCCACCTACTATCCTCCTTTCATCCTGCTGAATAGCAAGTAGCACTACACGTAACACTTTTTGCTAGCCTGTCTTTCTGTGCCTATGCTACAGATTTCAGGAGGTGGCCCAAAATCCATTACCCAAACTGCCATCCCTGGTAAGTGTCCATGTGTGTGACAATCTAGCCTTGAAAGATGCTGGGTACCTTGTGCAACTGTTGATCTGAAGCTCTGTGAGGGAGTTTCAAGTGTGATGACAGAAACAGTGAGGGAGGGAAAAGCATGTGGGTGTCAAACTAGCAACCACTCTTTTTGCTGTTAGGAGAGAAAGAACAGCTTTTGTTATGGTTTTTTGGCATTTATCACAGTCAAAACGGTCGCTGATATTCTGCAAGCTGCTCTTGGTCCAAGTTCCAGTCTGGTGGCTGACACTAATGGTACCAAATCCAAGTTTCAATGTTCATTCACAAACAAAAATCAGGTGGAAAGGGAAAAAAGTTCAAAGCTACCCCAGAGGATGAGAAGTCCTAGTTACCACTATCACAGACAAAGTTGATGAAACAAAGCTATTTTTTTCCACTTGGTTTACTGTGGTGTTAATATGTGACAATGGACATCACTGAATTGTGGCTTAAGCATCTTAGTCTCTCTATATTTTCTGAACTGCAGTCACCTGTATTCTTGTGACTGAAACACTGGGAGAAATGAAATGGATTTCCAATTTCCTCTCCTCTTCCAAACATGAATACTGTCAGCTGCTTTTCACAAGGGCTGATGAGACAACCAGCAATCAGCCTTTCTATTTTCATCTCTTCAGTGCTTAACTCTTAAGTGATGCAGCAGCAGCTCTGCTCTGCTTCTCAGCACAGTGCTCAGAGAGTTACTCATCCAGATGCTTTTTCCAAACAGACAAACCTACAAAAGTAAACACACTATTGTTTATGAGGACTGCTTTCCCTGTGATTATTGTTAGCATCCTTGCAAAGGTAAAGAAAATGAAACACATTTGTTAGTCACAGACACTGACTGGCAATTTGATCCCTGCAACCTTGAATTGTTTGATCAGACTGACCAAAGCTATAGAGGGCAATTGATTTAGAATCCTCTGACTGGAGAGCTGCAACTCCCTTTTTAATTAGCTGAGGTTATGTTTTCTTAAGAAGTTTTCATTCATTATGAGATATTTTCTTTCTCTGTGGACAAGTTATAAAAGAGAAGAAATTAAGAGCAGGAAGCCCTTTGAAATGCTAAATGAATTATTTCTGCAATAATCCTTCTGCCTACAGCAGATATTCTTGTCATTATAAAACCAAACAAATCAATCATATTAACATGATTTCTATCTCTAGTTTCAAGTATTCAACCTTCACAGTGGCTCCCTGCAGATATCCCATTCAAACAGGGTGGCAGGGAACTAGGTGACCGTAACCGTCACACAAAAGGCTCAGAATCTACATTCCTGCCTTGCCTCCTTTCCACAAAACTGAAGTCCATGTCAGTACACCTCCCCTGTCATGTTGATATATATCCCTGCAGAGCCCAGTGCTGAATGCCTTCTTGCCACACTCTCAAGTCTGCCAGCTGGCCTGCTGCTTTGTCAAACTTCTAATGCATTTAAGTATGAGGACAGCACCACTCAGAGAATTCAACGTTCAATAAAGTGCCATGACATTTTGTTGATATGTTAGTAGCTGTATTTTTAAAAACAATTATTATATGCTGGATTATATACATA